GCAGGCAGTCAGAGTCAGAACAAATTATATAATATTATATTTTCTAAGATTATCTAGACACCACTGACAAACTGTGGTGGAAAACAAGGTGAGGAAACATGGACTTCTAATTTCTAAATAAGTTTGACATTCTCCATACGAGAAGAGTTTTTTGGTCAGCAGTGGCCACTTATTGATTGTTGATGATGGTGATGGTGAGTAGTTTTTGAGTAAAAGTGTAACGAACACGTGTATGTACCTACATTTGTTTTTCTAATATAAGCCTACCTGTATCCTCACAAATCCTTATATAACTTTTTTATTTATAATATTAATAAAAGAGGAATAAGATAGTATAGTAGAATAGGATATTAGTAAAATCGAATAGGATGTTAAAGTGGACGCTAATTATCATTTTATGATTGATTTTTTTTTATTGCGTAAGCCGGTAATCGAGCAGATGGATCACCTAATGGCGTCGCCCATGGACACTCGGAACACCAGAGGTGTTACAAGTGCGTTACTGGCCTTTTGAGGATTAGTAATTTGAGGATTTGATTCAGGGATTGGGGAGATTTGGCAAGGAAGGGTGGGGGTAACTGGGCTTCTGATAACCTCACTCACACGACGAAATACAACGCAAGCTTGTTTCACGTCGGTTTTCTGTGAAGTCGTGGTATCACGCCGGTCGAGCCGGCCCATTCGTGCCGATAAATGGTTATCCCACACTAACGCCTACAACATATTTCATAGCAGAGATTTTCTAGGTTACGTAAAACGTATGCTGTCAATAAAACTTTGTTAAAGATCTATTGGGCAAAAAACTGAAGTAACCCATTTAATACGACAAAAGTTATTCAAAATCAATGGTAAAATTTTAGGTTTACTCATTTCTATACACTGTTATTTCTCACGCCTTAAGTGAGGCGAGGGGGAGAGTGTCAGAACTCTTATTGACTAAAAACCAACCATTTCCTACTTCTGCTTACCAACCTGTTAACTTACGCTCAGGGCACAATACACTATTTTTTTTGAGGGGAGAAAGTCATTCAATGACTTCTGTTGCTTTTATGACTCAGGACATAATACACCGTACCTCTCACCTGGTAAAAATATGTTATGTTCAAGGTATACAAAAAAACAATAATGAAATAGCTGCAGCTAAATTATAATGCTTTCCAAATTAAAACTAAGTACATAGATACGTGTACAATACAAAAAGTAAGAAAATTCGGTGTGCTTTGGTCTAAACTGGTCATTTTACATTACTATTTAACTCTTTCCATCTTGGGTTGACTTGGCATCCGGTTTGGGTAGTTCCTTGGGCAGGTCTAGTCTTCCATCAGGCCGGGATGTGTCGGGATGACCTTCGGGACGAGGAGGGGGAACTTGGGCGTCATGGCGAATTCCGTCCTTGGGCGGTTCGGGAACCTTCATGTTATTTGGCACCTCTGCGCTGGCGGCTAGGGCCACTAACACCATCAGGCAGACAAACATCTGTTGGTAAAAAAATATTGTTTATTGATACGAAGATTCATAACAAAAACGTACCAGGTGGATTGAGGACCTCTTTAATTTCTGGGAAGTCGGACAAGGATGTGAAAATTAGTTGTATTGTATTTGCTTTTGGTAAAGACAAGTAATGTTCCTAAGTTTAGACTCCGTGGAACGCGTACGCAACATGCATATCGTTAATTGGTACCTTCTATTAACTAATATTGCTTTATTTAAAATACTTTTTTTACTAGGGTTAGCTAGTACCGTACCTCAGTGATAATACGATAATACTGCGTGGCAGGTCAAAGCCAGTAAACCAAGACAGTATCTATCTAATTCATTATACCTGACTACAAATTCAGAGCAATATATATTGAATACAATTGCTCTTATTTTATTTTATTACTAGCTGACCCGGCAAACTTCGTACCGCCTAAAAGTTTTTTCTCACCTTTTAAACCTTCCCTAGACTTCCACGAACCTATCAAGACCAAAATTAGCCAAATCAGTTCAGCCGTTCTCTAATTTTAGCGAGACTAACGAACAGAAATTCATTTTTATTTATATAGATTTTGTATCTATTTATTAATCGTTAAATATATTACTAATACACTCTTAACCAGTTAGTAGTGCAGTGACTGCGGTTGCAATGTATTGCGGGTTCGATTCCCGCGGGGGTTAAAAAGTGATGATGGCATTTTCTTAGTAAAATGACCACCCCCGTGCCTCGGAAAGCACGTAAAGCCGTTGGTCCTGCACCTGAACACTTTCTGGTCATGTTGGTCCGCCGTCCCATCGAGTTCAGAGAGTGAGAGAACAAAGAGTGCACAGACCTGCATTTTTGCACAAACTTGTTCACTATAAGGTCTCATACACAAAACTGCGATGCGATGCGAATTCGCAACGCAAAAAAATACCATGCTAATTGCTGCGATGCGATTTCGTGCAACAAGGCGGACCATGCTTTTGACGACCGTTAACCGTACTAAACGTATTTTAAACTAGATGGTGACATGGACCGTAAAAAGAAGTGTGCACTTTTAATATTGCGTAGGAGATATAGGAAAAAGAAACTAAGAAAATTTTGGGAAGATAGGATTTTGATGCTCGATGCGAATCGATTCGCAAGTTCTTGCTATGCGTAGAGGGAGAGTTCTGTGTACGAGCCCGTATACGTATAGATATCTCCCGCTTAGTAGGCTAGTCTAGATAGACTTGCCACCATGATCGAAATCGACTGGAAGACTTTTCTAAACTGTTGGTCACTCAACAATTATTAAATAATTTTTATCTGGTTTTGGCACGATACACGGGGCACCCGAGTGGCAAATTTTGGGGACGCAATAGAATATACCCAATAGTTACTCAAAATTAATCACAGTACGAGACTTTTCGTTGGTGGTTTTGGTAGGTAGCTAATAGATTTAACGGTTAATATAAGAAAACCCCTGGGATATTATTGCAACCTGGCCGCTATATTACTGGTTTGAAACTCGCCTTCGTACCTACGTGGAAACTCAAATTCTCATAGCTAAATGCATTACACAAGGCCAAGTATATGTGCCCGGTATATGGCAATAGGCTCACCCCCTAATACATGGGACTCGTAACATAAATAGTGAAAAGTTGGTGTTACATTGTACAGTGCCATAATGTGCACCTCTGCCTACCCTTTCGGGATATAAGGCGTGATGTTATGATGATGATGATGACAAGTCCAAGGTATAATGCAACTCTTTACATCCTAACCGAACTACACACCAAGAAGGTTAAAAAGGAGTGTAGTTCTGCACATATTCTATGTAAAACCCTTATCTTCAGTCACATGAAAAAAGGGGTGAATCTAGTGCTATACACCAATCACTATTCTATATTCTACGCTAAGAATTTTCGAGAATCCGAAAAAAACTCAATATCTTTTTACCCGAGCCGACCTTACCACTACCTTAATTGGCAGTATCGCGTGCGCCCATTCGACAAACAAGACTGATTTTATAAATAAAGAAAAGCGAATAATAAAATAAATAAATTTAAAAAAGTACCTATTATTACACTTACCCCCAGACGAGACATCTTGGATGATATTTAACAAAATCTAATTACTGACTGACTTCTGAAGAATGCGAGTGCCCTTTTATAGTACTTTCCAACATAAACAAATGTTCTACTTATTTCCACTTGCGTCACTTGTAATGGATCGAAGCAGAAAAAACTAGTAATTGCGGACATTTATTACAATGGATTGTATAGGATACGCGTCTCTCCATAGCATTGTCAATCAAGATTCTTATGAGCAATTATTCAATTATAATCTTTCGTTAGAGTTAGAGCATACGAATCTAGGTGTCATCTTTATACAATCGTTCATTCAAGTAAATTAAAATAAAATGAGTCTCTGAAATGTTTACTCGTACATAACTCTCCAATGACTGCACTAAATTAGATGAATATTGATGTGCTTTAAAAGAGACAGACCTCTGAGTTTGTTTCGGCATTTCTTCTCAGAGTAATCAGTTGGGAAATGTCGGCCTCATCGTTCGCTTGATAAAATTGACGTGTAAAAGTGCTGTTTTGTACCCTATTTGCAGAAATAAATTCACTTGTTTCTATTCAGTTAGGCTATTCTATAACTTTCAATTCGAAAGATCGAAGTGAACTCGACCGCGGCCCGCCATGTCAGAATGATCTCGACCAATGTCGGGCAAGAATGCGATCGAGCTCATTTCGATTGATGAATCTTTGGAATTGGTAGTTACAGAATAGCCCAGGTGGTGTCGGGACATGGTTTGCATAAAATAAAAAAGTGACAAATCGTCCAGGAAATGGAATATATTTTTCGCAGTGCAGCAGTTGCCAGTGGGTATAATAACCATATAACAAGAAGCGCTGTTATTGCTTGCACGTTTTTGTTATATTCCTGCAGCTGTAGCTAAATGCCATTTAGCGCCTGTCTAAATGTAGAATAGAAAACCAAATTGTATGGAATTGACGTAAATTTTGACACATTGTCAGTGTCATCCCCATACATTTTGATTTCTATTCTCTCAATACACAAGCGCTAAAGTGGCGTTTTTGGCTAAAGGCCCTGATGTTGCTGCATGTTCAGTACTTCATCAGAGGCCTGCGTGGAAGTGATTACAGTATCTCTGGTGCTAATAACTGATAACCATAATATTGCGTCATTAGGCATATAACATTTAAAATTATTAAAGGCAAATACTTAGCTAACACCGGCCGCATAACCTGATAATGATGAACTGCACCATATCTTTCGAAACATAGGTGCAATTTACAGGTGCAAGATAACTTTAGGGAATTACTAAGAAAATCGGATAAGGGACCAGTTTGTCATAGGTAATAAATAATCAACGGTATAAATAAAAAATAATGCACTGTTTATTTATTTTACAATTTTGTTAATATCAAGACAGCAAAAACCAGTATATCAATGAACAATTCGAAAACATATTTATTTAGGTAATAGAGGCCAAAGGTAAATTAAAATTTGGAATTAATGAGAATAAGTAGGTTTCTGGGAAGACTTCTGTTGTTAAGTTGCTCATTTGCCGCCGCGAGCGTGGGGGTTGTCGTCTGAAAAATAAAAGTAAACATTATTAAACATCGGAGAGCCCTTTTTGAGGCATCACATAGTGCTACGATTTGTTGCACAACTATAGCATTTACAGAGCAACACCATAATAAACACTAGCAGAAGTGGATTAAGTCACAGGTACTGTGTCAATTATGAAACCAAGTTGAATAGTAAGTCGAGGGTAAGAAATCGTCCTACAACTGCAATTTTGTCGCTTGCTACATGATCATACTATTATATTTATTATGTATAATGTTAACTTTGTAGGAATATTCGAAAATTTATGAACCTAGATTAGCAAATACGAAGAAAGAAAATCAATGCGACGATAAGGACATTAAAAATTGTGATTGTATCAAAGAAAATTGTAAGTTTTACATTTATATATTGTATACTTATATCTACTATATAAAACTAATTCGGGTTTTCCTTCCTGACGCTATAACTCCAGAACGCACGAACCGATTTCCACGGTTTTGCATTCGTTGGAAAGGTCTCGGGATCTGTGAGGTTTATAGCAAAGAAAATTCACTAATAAAAAAACGAAGCCATCTGGTGGAGTTCACCGGGTTTGCTAGTATTCTATATTTATAGTTGTATATGTACTTAAATATAGTATATATGTACTTAAATATAGAAAATAGAAAGCTAATTGGCTAAACAATCCATTCCTACAAAGATTTGATGCGAATTATTAATAATGAAAGAGAATCGCAAAATATGTCATTAAATGCAAAACTACAGAATATCTGACCTGAATAGGATAATCTCATTTTACTATGCCTATTTAACTTCTAAAATTTAGAGGAACAAGTTCCAAAGGAAAAAAAACGGAAAAAGGACTAGGAAAGTCAGAAAATAGACTATGGATGGATACACAATAGACAACAATAAAAGTCGGAAATAGAAAAATAGGTAAATACAGTTTATTTACACAATTTTGTTAAACAGAAGACAACCAAATTTATTGAAAGTACAATGAATATACTGTACAAGAAGAGATTGAGGTTTAATCAGAAGTAAGAAGAATGAAGTGCGTTTTTCTTATTTAGTGGTTCATTTGCCGCCGCGAGCGTAGGGGTTGTCGTCTGTAAACATATTTGTATATGAATTAGAGTATATTAAAAATAATAAGGTACATAATATAATAGGTTCTGGTAGCGACTGGGCCTATTACTAACCTATGTGTTTTTTAATATTATCATCTATCTCTGTATTAAATTCTCCGTTCTTTTCATTAATTTTTACGTTAAAGAATAACATAAAAATATTCATATAATCTGAAATTCTACACCTATAGGTTTCTGGAACTGTTGCAAAACTTAAAAAGGTAATATTTTTCTTAATAGTAATAGTAATCGACCTGAGAATGCCTCATTGGCCGATTGGTCACAAGTGCGACTGCTGGGCAAGGGGTCTGGGGATCGATTCCCGGGTCAGGCAAAGTATTAGGGGGCGTCCATAAATTACGTGAAGTGCTTTTTTTATTTTCTCTCCTTCCCTCCCCCCTAGTGAGATATCGTGAGTTTTTCCCTTACTGGGTTTTAAAAAAAATCTCAGTAGTAGTACGGAGTACGGAATTGTGCCCGGTATATGACAATAGGCTCACCCCCTATTACATGGAACTCATAACATAAATAGTGAAAAGTGGGTGTTACATCGTACAGTGGCATTAAGTGCCACAATGTGCACCTCTGCCTACCCCTTTGGGGATAAAAGGCGTGATGTTACGTATGTTATGTAATAGTTTAGATTTTGTATGCTTTCTTTTTATTTTTATTATATTTTATTTTAAATTAGTAAGTAGGTACCTATGTACTTATATTTAGTTTTAGCCCCAAACTATCGCAATGGAACACACTAAGTATACCTAATGATAGTTTTAGGTAAGGTTTTAAATAAATAAATAAAATCCCCAAGCAAACTTTTGCTTAGAAGTCAAAATTAAAATTATTGCATAGTGTGGGATTTTGTAATTAATTGCATGACTTTCTTAAAAAAAGAAATTTCACATATAACCTACATGACGTGATAGTTAATAGTTATAGGGTTTTTTTTTAAAGGGGGGAAAATCATCGAATGACTGCTCCCGCCTGGGTGAGGCGGAAAGGAGTGTCAGACTTTTACTGACTAAAAACCACCCCGTTCCTTCTCCTGCACGTCGAGCCGGAGCCCCGGTTACCCGTTAGGTTCTCCGCGACATAGTTATAGGGTACCACTAAAATTACCCATAACGACTATGATCAAAATGTATGTAGGTAAATACTTTTATACATTTTGATTTTGATTTTGAAGTACACACGGCCACACATCAACCTATACAAAACCAGTTTATCCTGGTGTCGCGTCGCATCATCTTTCCGCACATTTAACGTTCAGTTTATACTGGTTATGTAAAGCTCGATCTGTAGCCGTGTGTACCTATGACGTTCTAGGTAAAAGTTGTTATACATTTAATAAAAATGAAGTGTATACTCACATTGCTTGCCAGGGTAGGGACGGTTGACGTAGACCGGGGAGATGTCTGTAAAGATAACATTATACGTTAAAAACTCTTGCTCGATAATTCCGGCAATTATATATTATGTATTTATAATAAACATCAGTTTATTTAGTTGGAGCTTTTTAAAGTTTTGTCTTCAAATAAGATTATCGAGCCGTGGGTGCGTTTAAAAATGTATACGCATTGCCCCCAGAACCAGAACCAACAATTAATCTAATTACATCAAAACCGGGAATCTAATCTATGATGATATAACTGGTGACATGAAATAGGCTTTGTTGAAGAATTGTTCTGTTGTTACAGTAACAGCTCAGTATTATGTACCTAATCAATATTTAAGTACTGCCTGTTTTTATATGTACTACAGCAGGACAGCGTTTATGAATGGCACTGAATCGGAGATGAATTTTTTATTGACATTAATTAACTTTTATATAAATTAAGATATCATTGTAATAGCTATCTTGAGACATACTAAATTAACTAAAAAATCGCGAGTTACTCACGTGAATATACCGAGAAAAGCTCTACTAGTTTCGAACCATAGAGGGGTTCTTCCTCATGAGCAACGTCGCGGCGATGTCGTGCAGCTTACTAAGTAGAGTTTTTCTCAGTGTATTCACGTATGTAATCTGCTATTTTTACTTAAGACATCATTATTTATTTTAAGATGTTTTTATTAATAATTTTCAAACTATACTTACTAGGGCGTCCTGTAAGAAACAAAACTTAAATGCATTTAGAAATAAATAATAGATTTAATTGAACGCAAGATCGCGCCTTACATAATAGGAGTGCCTTAAATTAGCATCTAATTTTCACCACTACCCTAATATAAGACCTATAAGACCTATAATAATAGCTTGACCGCTGACATACTTGGTTAGCGTTTTTAATTTGTGTAAATCAAATCCTGATACTAAGTTGCGTGTCCAAGGAATCGAACCCTAGACATAGCTGTAATCTTGATCAACAAAGCAGTCGGTATTTTTATCGGTATTTGTAGGACTATTGAAATATTCTTCTAAGGAGACTCACCAGGGCGTTCTGAAACAAAAACAAAAGAAAATTAATATAATTTGAAATCAATCAAAGGATTTTATAACATAACATAACATCACGCCTTTTATCCTCAAAGGGGTAGGCAGAGGTGCACATTATGCCACTACAATGTAACACCCACTTATCACTATTTATGTAATGAGTCCTATGTAATAGGTGGTGAGCCTATTGCCATATACCGGGCACAATTCCAGACTCCGTGCTACTACTGAGATTTTTTAAAAACCCAGTAATACTTTGCCCGCCCCGGGAATCAAACCCGAGACCCCTTGCCTGGCAGCCGCACTTGCGACTAATCGGCCAATGAGGCAGGTAGGATTTTATAGTAGAACATAAATTTGGGAACTAGTCAAATAATTAGATTTAAATGAATACTCACGAGGGTATGAGGGCTGGCCGAAGAATGGGTCAGCTGTAAATATAAAATATTGTATATTAGTACCTACGTTTACTTCTAAATGAATTATCATTCGACACGACAAAATCTTATATTCATAAGTTCTACGCGCCCATATGAGCTCTATTGAACTTGAAACTAGTCGAGCCGTCCTCGAATAAACTAAAAATGCGTTTTACGCCATCTTTAAATTTGATTTATCTCTCTTTGAACGAGTTTAGTACATTTTGAGTCCAATTTTGTAAACGCATTTGAAGCTTTGGGCGTCTTCTGTGAATGTTTAATGATAAACATTATTACTATTATATTATCTCACATTCACATTCACATATGGTTTGTATGGGAGTTGAATCTATATCGATCTCAGTGCATGTAAACTATTAGAAGGTATATTTTTCCTCAAACTAAATAATTTAATAATTTAAGCAAATACGATTATTTATACTTACGGTTGGTGATCACAACTGTAACAAAAGATAATTGAAATTAGTATCAGAATGTTACATACTTCATACATAATTATTATAATTTTAGGAAAATATAACTTGGGCAACAGGGTAAAATTACATTTGATCCTAATATGGTTATTTCAGTCTTTTAACAAATAAATAAAAGAGGATACACGTTTTATAAATTCCTAAACCTTTACGCACAATAGGGTAGTTTCCTAAATTTTATTTTAATATCCGTCTGGTATATTTAAAACTTTAGACACGTATTTTTTCTTTTCTCACAAAATTAAATACTTTCGACGATATATTAATTTGAAATATCGTGTGACGTCACACGTCATAACATGCCACATTTTGTAGCACGTTATGACGTAACGACCTCCCACTTCTAAACTTAGCGCCATTTTATCTAAGTATTGCAACTTAATACGAGAAAATAAAAAATACGTGTCTAATATTTTTTAATTATCTAACTGACGTACTAATTACATTTTTAATTTTGATACCTTGGAAACTACCCAATTGCAACATTATATATAACACATAAACATGTTATTTACATTATAAAACTATGATTTACATACAACAAGTATGTATTTGTTAGTAAACGTACCTTGGTCAGGGTTGCCATCTACGATATGCACTGAAAATATGAAACGGGATGGTTAGAAGCAAAGCCAGAACATAGCTGTCTATTGCTATGGTAATAGGTATTTTATTTAGAAGGTATTAAGGTCTGACAAAAAATTCTCGGAATTGTGTAACAGTTTGATATTGTTCTAATTTCAATCTTATGAGCCGCCGCAAATGAATGCCATATTTATATGAACGTATATCGAAGACGTATATCGTAAGGTTGGTAGGTAGGTACTCTATGATTTCGTTAGAATGACTAAAGGAATTTTTGACTTGATTTTTGAAAGGAATTTCTTCAATCACAATCAAAGTATTATTGGGTTTTAAAAAAAAAAGATCTCATTAGTAGCACGGAGTCTGAAAATATGCCAGGTGTATGGCAATAGGCTCACCCCCTATTACATGGGACTCATAACATAAATAGTGAAAAGTGGGTGTTACTTCTGTGTGCACCTCTGCCTACCCTACCCTAATTAAATTCACATTTAATTTATTGTATAATCCCAAAAACAAACAATATTCTTCTAGTTCGGTTATTCCCAACTAGAGATAATCTTAAAGAAGTTGAGAGGTTCTGAGTATGTTTAAATAACAGAGTCCTATAGGTATCGCATTTTTTGTTAGACCTTAATATCTTAGTAAAGCATTTGCTCACCGGCAGACGGGTCGTTGGGGTTGTTGTTCACAAAGTTCACTAGAATAAATAATGCGTACAATTAACACAAAGCAAAGCATTTTTACATAGACAGATAGACAGTACACAGTGAGAGACAACGAAAAATGTAGAAAGATGGTTTATTGTTTCGTAATAAAATACTTCTATCTATTTATTACTTCATCAAAAACAGAAGAAGAAGGAAAAGAAGTTTAATTAATTTAAATGCTCACCGCCAGAAGGATTATTGGCGTTGTTGTTGACAAAGTTCACTAAAAATAATAATTTTAAAATTTAATGAAATAATTATCAACGTATTTTTTAAATAAATAAAAAATATTTTTAATTAAAAAGTATCTCACCGCCGCTTGGGTTATTCGGGTTGTTGTTGACAAAGTTCACTAGAAATAATAATAGAGACTTATGAGCAAAGAATTCGAAATTTAAATTTAATTTATTTACATTTAATTAAAAGTAATTTGCTCACCACCGCTTGGGTTACTCGGGTCATTGTTGACAAAGTTCACTAAAAATAATAATTGACTATTATGAGCAAATAAAATAGATAATTTTAATCTATTATTCATTTATATTTAATTAGTAATTTGCTCACCACCGGATGGATTATTGGGGTCGTTGTTGACAAAGTTAACTAGAAATAATAATTGAAATTATTATGAGCAAAGAAATTATAAATTTAATTTATTATTAATTTATATTTAACTAAGTAATTTTCTCACCGCCACTTGGGTTATTCGGGTCGTTGTTGACAAAGTTGACTAAAAATAAAATGAACGAAAATGAGTAAAGAGAGAAATATTATTTCGATAAAGAAATGTTAGTATTAACAATTTTGTTAGTTTTTTACGGCATTCAGTCCAAAAAAGGTTTTCAGAAAAGAATAGAAATCCCTAAAACATTATTTGATTTAATAAACCAATAAAATTTACTGAGATGTAACTAAATAATAACTTTAGTGTGATGCTCACCTTGACCCGGGTTGTTGTCATACGGGTTGTTGACAAAGTTCACTAAAATAATATGACCCAGATGAATAAAGCGTGTTGATGATACCCGGATAGACAAATATTTTTATATAAGGTCCTATTGAATTAAATAGGGATCAATGATGACTATTTTGGGATTTCTAAGGTTGTAAAGATAACTGAACAAGAGGTATCAGGGCTTTTTTTTTTAAGGGTCGGCAATCATCGAATTTTTAAATTGAGCAGAATATTATTGGCATTTAAATTTTCGAAATTCTCAGTTAACAGTTAAATTGAAGTTTGAGTTCATTTTCCTTTATTATCATTATAGAATCAGATCCTATTACATGGGGGTTAATTTCCAGACATATACAGTAAATAGGACCTTATATAAAATACTCAATGACGTGCTCACCACCGCCCGGGTTGTTGTTGTCCACAAATTGCACTGCAAATAATAATTATGACCAATATGAGCCAAGCATTGCATGACGCGACGGTACAGCGCAAGCGCAAGCATTCAAAAGCGAGCATTCTGAGCACTTTTGCTCGAGCATGACAACTTTTTAATTAAGTGAGCATTCTTATTTTTCTTTTTTAGTTATTGCGTTATAGAATACGTTGTTTTTTGTCTGTTATCTTTAAAAAAAACCCAGTAAGGATTTATTGATGATTTTATCGCATTTTACGCATAAATTGATTAATTGATTTGGCAATACCCAATGCTCATTAAATACATACTAGGCAACGTTCAAACAAATGTAAAGAAATTAATTTTCTTTACATTTGTTTGAACTTCGAAATATTTACAAAAATATTTCCTAATTTTTCTTAAGATTTATTCACTTTTGAATGACTGTTTCCCTACAGTAAATGACGAGCAGACGTCAGCACAAGCTACCTTAAACTCTCAAAAATCTTTACTGGATTCTCAACTTTACTATTTTGTAATAAAGTTAATATTTCCAATAGTTAATAAATACATTAACGTTCTCACCAGGTGTCGGTCTGTTATTGCCCCAAAACCTGCCTGAAAATAATATTATGACCGATGTAAGCAAGCAATTAAGTGGTGCAATATTTTGCTATTGTGCTGTTTTCTAACTAAAAATGTATAGTGCCTTTGTGATTGGTAGTCTATACCAGCTGATCAATCTATCATTTCAATAGAATTTCAACAGTATTTAAATATGTATAAAGTTGAAATTGTATCAATTAGCTTAACCAGCCTAGCGTCTGTGCATATTCCTAAAATATAAGTGTTGTGTGCAAAATGACTAAATTGTATTGATGTGCATTCGTGCAAGTTGTTTCCTACAGTTTATTGTTAATGCTCACTAAGTTAGAGACAGTCATGCATTGTTAATATTAGTCAATTGTTAGTTTAAATGATGACATCAATAGCCTTAGCCAATATGACTATCTGTATTCGTTAACATATTTTTTTTCTTATTTTTTTATTTGTATGGCTTTTAAGGGTGGAATAAGGATCCCAGAATATATAATCACCTCCATTATCATTGAATTAAAAAGCTGAATTCAACAGAACTACCCGGAAACGATACCCAAGTTAAACCGGGGCGTGTAGCTATTTTTCTATATTATTCTATATCGGACAGTTATTTTGGCTAAAACTGTTGTTAGCTGTTTTATTGACATAAAGCTTACCTTGACCAGGGTTTGCATTGTCCACGAAGTGAACTGTAATTAACACAATAAAACGTTTTAACGGCCGAAAAATAACAGATCTCAATTCAAAACCAGTTCTTGTAAGATCTCAGTTTACGTCAGAAACTCTATCACAAATCGATCTTAATCTAAAGATGTTGGATTGAAATGGGATCTCAATTTCGGCCGTGATTTATTTGATTGTTAGTTAATTTAGGAAAAATTGACTATGAAATCTGCCGCAAAAATATATATAGGTATATATAGCGCAAAATAGATTTCTCAATTCAAGTCTTCGGAAAGTGATTGCTAGTAATTAATATTATTAGCAGTAAATAAAGGTTAGCACAATAGTAATAAACTTACCTTGTTCAGGGTTGTTGTGTTTGCCTGAAAATGAATAAAAAGCACACGTAAAGTAAGTTAAGCGTATTTCATCTTACTGATGAAATTGTTATGTTAATTACAACACACAGAAAACATTTTGTTAAACATTCACAATTGTTAGATATTTTCTTCAGATATATGTAGTTTATCTTTTCTTTGTTAGTTATATGGTAAGTATACAGTATTACAAGAGGTTAATAACAAATATATCATCATCAACAGCCTATAAATGCCCACTGCTGAGCAAAGCCTCTTCTCACACGGAGAAGGTTAGAGCGTTAATCACCACGCTTGCTCAATGCGGGTTGGCGATTTCAAACTTATAATTAGAAATTATAAGTCCAGGTTTCCTCACGATGTTTTTCCTTCACCGTTTGTCAGTGGTGTCTAAATAATCTTAGAAAGTACATATAACTCGGAAAAAGTCACATTGGTACTTGCCGTTGGTAGGTTTCGAACCCGCACCCTCATGCATGAGAAGTGGGCGTCTTAAACCTCCGGGCCACCACGACGTCAATAACAAATATATGAGACATATAAAAGTGTGGAATTGTGACAAAAGTGTTTAATTATCTGTGTTGCGATGTATATTATCTATGAAGCTACATTTAAACTCTCGCTGAAGTCCAGACGAGGTGGTGATATATTGTCGTTATTATAAAAGAGTTGTAGTCCTTCTTGTATTGTAAGACTGCAATGTACCTCAACCTAAACTTCCTGTCCGCTCGCACGCGTGTACATGTTGCATCAGTTTGTATGTATGTATGTTATGTACCTACAGGTGTATCTGCTAGTTTTTTCCTAAATTTTGTTCAGTACCTATCTATAGAGATCAAGATATTTCGATACGTAGTCGATGAATAGAGCATTAAAAAATAGTTCTTGCTCGTTCCGCTTTTGAAGTTTAGAACGAGCATTAATAATAATAATTATTTGAGCAATTAATAGATTCTTTCTCCAGAGACTTTTTTTTAATTCAATAATTATATACAGTGTGTTTGAGATAATATTTTTTATATAATTTTTGGTTATTATATATTAAGATACGTACCTCTCTGAGCCGAAGCCATGGCGAAGAGCGCCAGCACGAAGAAAAGCTGAAACACGTAAAACACCTTCATTTTTACCACTGTTTAACTTGAATTTCAGTTCAAGACTGACTCAGTACACAAAACCATGTCCGAATATTGACACACACAAGTCATTGATAGGTTATCTGTCCGATTAGATAACCACGTATACAGTGAAGTGATTTTTCTAGGTCTTTCCGAATTTTCTTGTAATTAGTAAAGTTTTAATTGCAACTGAATTTGTTTTAATGTCGTCATGTCTGGATTAAATTATTAATATTGATTACATGTGTATGTGTCTTGTTTGTATGGATTTGTTTATCTCTTTGTTTCTGCGAATAGCAAGGATACAAGTCAGTCGAATATAACATACCAATATACCTATATATTAGAGGTATTATAGACGTTTGATTTACTGTATAAAATTTATATACCTATGTGTGTGAAAATAGTATCATATAAAATACAAATATATCATTATGTTATCTAAGATATACAATATTCTTTTCTATATTCATTAAATTGGGAATATCATCAATCCTAATTAAGGAAAATTAATTACCAAATCTATTTTATCTTTTGTAATTCTCGAAATATATGGATGTCAAATTACTTAATATTAAGTAAGTACTTACAAGTACTAAGACTCTTATCCTATAATTCTTAAATAATATTTTGTAGTTCGACTTTTTCCTATTTACGTAGTTGAATAATAATTTAATTTTCAAATCACGAGTGAACAAAATACCAAAGGAATGAAATCACGTGTTTAACCGGACAAACATATTTTAAATATATAATTATGTATGTACACATGAATATTTTAGCACTTAGACAAACAAAATTATGGTTATTAGGCGACGACGGGGAAAAATATATAAAAAACATGATGTGAAGGACGTTGAAATAAAAATTAAATAAGACCAGTTCCTTATATTTACCTAATTCGGTTATCATACAATCTTTTGGCAAATGATATTAACCGTCTGGCAATTATAAGGTCTGGTTCTCGGGTAGCAAAGCAGTAAAGTAGCATGTAGCATAAACTATTTGTTTGGTAAGCAACATAGTATAAAACAAAGTTCCTTTTTCTGTCTGTCCAAGCCCGTCACAACCTCCCAAAACCGCTGCAATCCCTGTAAGCCAGGATCTATAGTAGATACAACTAGTACCGTCGTTACCATAAGGGAACTCGGGGCTCGTGCCCCGGGCCCCCATGCTCAGGGGCACTGAAGGACCGAAAATTTCTACCGTAGACCGTTTCTTATTCCGCGGCCGGGTATCCGGTAGGTTACCGTGCAACTTGTAGCGAGTTCGATTCCCGCACCGAGCAAATCTTTGTGTGCTCCATAAATTGTTGTTTCAGTACTGGGTTGAAAAAAAAAATATATATTCTAAAAGCGCCCTGAATTATTATGTGCCCAAGGGCCCAAGCTAAGTCTAAGACGGCCCTGGATACAACCATGAAGACATCGGAACACTAATCGTGTCTCAGGGACATGAATTACTGTATTTGAAGGCTTATACAATACATGCATAATATTTAGGTATTTATTACCTCTTAAAAAAATGGCGATAATTAAGTAAGCGAGTATTGTCCTCTACCCATTCTGAGAATAGAAGGCGCAATGTTATTGTATGTAAACACGTATTTACATACAATACAATACCTACTTAAACATAGCCTTCGTTTAGTCTGTTTGTATGTTTGTTCAGTTACGTCATAATTTGATTACCCGCTAAACCATTGTTTGACCACAATAGATTTATTTTGATTTAGACTCAGTTTCGGCGTTCTTTCAATTATATTTTTCGTGTGTTATCTAGGTAAACAGCATGTGGAGATAATGTTTGAATAACAAATGATTTTGTGGTTTATTTTATTCAAGTTAAAACTTCAATTCCTTTATTGTGGTTCCGCCTGCGTGTTTAAAAGATTTATCTCAAGGGATTCTCAAGTCTAGACTGTCTACTAAACAATAAACAATATCACGATTTTAATTCCATCAGGGGTAGATACAAATGCACAAGTACAGTATAACACCCGGTTTGCATCAGTTATGAATTGAGGTTCATAGAATAAGCGGTGAGATCGAGATACACCGAGCCCAATACCAGACTATTAAGATTTTTAGAAAACCCGATACTTTTCCTAATCCCAAACGATACCCCACTTGCAAAGCAGTCGTACTTACGACCCCAACGAGATTGTGACAAATATAACGTCAACACACGTATATTTGATAATAAAATATATTTTTAAGTAACGTCAACATAACATGCTTACTTACCTATGTAAGAATTTGGACCTACCAAATTCAAATTCATGTACCTCTATATTAATTAGTTATTTTCCTTAATCAAAAACAAATTATTTCGACTGTTCAATACCTACAATGAAATATTAAAAAATAATCTTGATTTGTTGACTAACTTAATTTAGCATTTTTTTAAGAAATAAGAATGCTGCAGGTATGACGCTAAAAAAACGTGACGTCACAATACACAATCTCGTACAAAATTATAGAAAGCTGTCGTTTTTGACAGTTCAAAAAAAGTATTGAATTTGACTAATTGGCAATTACCCAACTGCTGAACACATCAACACAGTACATTTAGATGCATTGCAAGATGTCAGATGAATGCGCGGTTCACCATGTTCCAATCAAGGCATGAAACGATCTTATAACAACAAAACAAAATGCTTACATTGAAAACAATCTTAAACAATTTACCTTACTCTCAGTACCTAGTACAGAATCCTGTTCAGATATAATTAATTACAGAATGACAATTATAATGAATCCATGTACTATTTACACAAGCTAAACAAACAATGTCGTGTCACTGAATGGTTTCTGCGTACAATCTCAATTATAAAATACTTAAAGGTATTATCGTATCCGTAATCTTTATTTCAGTTTTTATTAATGAGGTGACTAGACCAATCATTTTGTGTCGCGTCTTTTGTTATATTTATTGGATTGATAGTGCAAGTAAAGAATATATATAAGAATAATAATAACAAACCTTTATTTGACTTACAAAGGATAGAAACAGGAAATTATTTTTTTAAGGGAAAAATCTATCGAATGACTGCTCACGCCTGGGTGAGGCGGGAGGGAGTGTCAGACCCTTACTAACTAAAAACCACCCCGTTCCTTCTCCTGCACTTCGAGCCGGAGCCCCGGTGACCCGTTAGGTTCTCCGCGACTATTGGTCTATTAGGAGAGTGGTCATAAATACGATTGGGTTCAGGTCGGGCAATGAGTTAGATATATGTACTGGGGATTTTTTAGAAGCTATTAAGTAGGAGCTAAGTAAGCTATGTATGATATATTACAAACTAGTGACCCGCCCCGGCTTCGCACGGGTGCAATGTGCATGTATTATACATATAAATCTACCTTAAAAATCACTATCTATTAAAAAGCCGCATCAAAATCCGTAGCGTAGTTTTAAAGAGATAAGCATACATAGGGACAGACAGATGGCAGATAGCGACTTCGTTTTGTACTATGTAGTGAAGTACCTATAGGAATTATGTATAAAATAATTGCTGGAAAGTAAAAGTGAATGTTACATTTCTATAATGCACTTCTGATTACCCCTTTGGACAATTAAAGCTATGTTATTTGTTTTATTTTAATAAAAGCATCTTTGTTTTATCTTAGGTTATCTTGTTCGTGTATTTCTAATTATAATGTACTGTTATCAATGGTCAGTTTCGTATTGTGATAACATCAGTTTTAGTTAAAAAAGAAAGTAAAAGAAAACAACAAAAATTATACCCTTAATTAAGGCGTCAAAGTATTCGTCCGCATCACTATCACAGGGGAAAGTTCCCAGAAGACTGGCAGCATTGCCACGTTGAATGGCAATGCTTATTTTCTGTCCGAAGAAAAAGCCAGCCCTCTGGTCACGTGTAGAGTCGATTAGCCTACGGGCGATGTCTTTAAACACAGAGTGTGCACTGGGACCCCATGGCCCAAGTGTTTCGACCCCAAACGGCTCAAAACAGTAGTTACCCACTAGATTTGAATATTTACGCCGTTTGAGGGCCTCTGCCGCGGAAGCAGCCGCACCAACGCATGCAGCGGTGCTTAAAAGATGTGATGGCGCAAGGGTGTCTACACAAGTCGCGTCCCACACCAAAGGCCTACCCATCTTCCAAGGCAGCAACGACATACCATCTGGTCTTTTGCCGTCATCACGTACCAAACCATTAGGTTCTAATACGGCTGGTACACCGGCTGAGGCAAGAGCACGACGAATGATGTCGTTGATGCTGGCATGGCGAGCTATGCGGCCTGCACTTCTGCAACAAGAAAGACCATGGTGTCCCAAGCCATCGACTCTTTCTCCACAGTGACAATAATGCGGAGAAACACAAGGAGCACCTAAACGTAGGCATACAGCTAGGCGGAACGTTATGTCATCCAACATAGTACCTATGAAGGGTGACGGGAGTGCCTGAAGCCACAATCCTGATTCCCATTCTCCCACAGCCAATAAGCGAGCTCGCTCTGCAGTATTAGGAGACGAGTTGATTAAAGACTCACGAATAACACTGCACAGCGGCACGTCCCACTGTCTCTGAGAAGATGGATGAACAGGTAAATCCGTAAGTGGGCAAGCCATTTTCCACGCTTCCACTGCATCAGTCAAACACGGCACCTCAAAACTGGTCAGTGACGAAGAAAGAATTTTCCTGACCAATTCAGAGGTACTGTGGACCGAAGACAGAAAAGCTGGTAAACTAATACTTGAAATTTTGCGGACGCCGAGCCCTCCCATGCGAATAGGAAGAGTAGCTTGTTGCCAAGCTCGGTCATCCAAAGCCACATTAAGTATGGATGACAATGTGTGTCTGATAATTTTGTCTACGTTTTCTAAAATGTGTGAATGTTTCCATAGATGTGAAGCGCGGAGAATATAAGTAAATTTTGGTCCAAAACAACAGTACCGAATTAGGGTGAAAGCCGAATGTGTGTTGATTTTGTGTAATCTATCCGAAATGTGATTGAAATTTTGTATCTTGTCCTCGATGAATTTAGGAAAACATTCATCGAATATTGGTGAACCTAGGAGGTGAAGTGAGTACTTATCAATAAT